ACCATGCATTGTGGCTCATTCTCTCATAGAAGTTAAGGATTTGGGAATCCAGCAATTAAACATAATTAAAAGCATGGTCTTTCTGGAAAAAAGCAAATGTTTTCAATTATGGTTTTTAATAATAATAATAATAATAATAATAATAATAATAGCACTTTGGGTGGAGTGGAGAGTAATTAGTAGTTTTGGTTTCCAGGGTTTTCAATAGATAAAGGTGTTGTTATTTGGAGCAGAATGCCTCCATAATGTCCAGGTCATTGTCACATGTGCTGACTACCAGCTAGACATTTTAAACCACTGAGCCCCTTGGACTTGCTGATCAGAAGGTCGACGGTTCGAATCCCCGTGATGGGATGAGCTCCTGTTGCTCTGTCCTAGCTCCTGCCAACCTAGCAGTTTGAAAGCATGCCAGTGCAAGTAGATAAATAGGTACCTCTGCGGCGGGAAGGTAAATGGCGTTTCCGTGCGCTCTGGTTTCCGTCACGGTGTCCTGTTGTATCAGAGGTGGTTTCGTCATGCTGGCCACATGACCCAGAAAGCTGTCTGTGGACAAACGCCGGCTCCCTCGGCCTGAAACTGCAAACCTTTGACTGGACTTAACAGTCCAGGGGTCCTTTACCTTTTACCTAGACATTTAATCTAGTAGAAAACTCTGGTCTACTAGCTCTCACCAGGTTTCTTTCAAAATGGATTTGGGAACTTCTAATCTTTACCCAAAATGTAGCTCTAAGTTCTGGAGAGAAAGAGAGAGAGTAGGCCACACAGCCACCAACTATTGTTGTTTAATGTATTTTTAAAAAGGGACTCTCTCTGCATAACTTGGCCAAGATATTATTTCCTCCTCTCGTTTCTTTGTAAACCGAAGAAAGTCCCCTAACTGTGGGAGAGGCCAACCTGTTCCTTCGCATTTCTTGTCCATCACATCAAGTGATACTCTCCTGATCATAAGATTAAAGCTGAGTCACAGGATGTGTGCCCTCAGGATGTTTCTTAAGCTATTCTGGAGCTGAGTGGATTAGACTGGCACCCTGCGTTTCGCCTAAGAGAGTACAAAGCCCAAGAGGTCAACAGTGTTTCAGGGAAGTTAATTGAAATCAACCAAATGAGACAATCCAATTCCTACCATAACTACTCATATAGGTAACCAATTTTCAGCTATAATGATTCAATTGTCATTAGCCGTAATTGGGACTCTGGTACACAGGAGAAGGTTACAGCGAAGATGGAGAAGGGAGAGCTTTGGATTAGTGGCTACCACTGGTTTTACTCTTTTAAGCATTTGCAGTGGTGTAGTCACTGTCTGAGCCAACAATTTTCAGAGTGAATTTGTAGCTGACTGCACCTTTGGCCGCATGTCACTATTATTAGTGAGTGTGAGGTTTTGCTTTCAATACTAGTAGCAAGTTGTGCCTGAACTGAGAAAAGTTATACGACTATAGTTGCACCTATTATGATAATTATGGGACATGGGTGGCGCTGTGGTCTAAACCAGCATTTCCCAACCTTGGGCCTCCAGCTGTTTTTGGACTACAACTCCCATACTCCTCAGCTAGCAAGACCAGTGGTCAGGGATGATGGGAATTGTAGTTCGAAAACAGCTGGAGGCCCAAGGTTGGGAAACACTGGTCTAAACCACCGAGTCTCTTGGGCTTGCCAATCAGAAGATTGGCGGTTCGAATCCACGCGACGGGGTGAGCTCCCATTGCTCTGTCCCAGCTCCTGCCAACCTAGCAGTTCAAAAGCACACCAATGCAAGTAGATAATTAGATACCACTGTGGTGGGAAGGTAAATGGTGTTTCCATGTACTCTGGTTCCCGTCACGGTGTTCCGTTGTGCCGGAAGCGGTTTAGTCATGCTGACCACATGACCCGGAAAGCTGTCTGTGGACAAACGCCCGCTCCCTTGGCCTGAAAGTGAGATGAGCACCATAACCCCATAGTTGCCTTTGACTGGACTTAACCATCATGGGGTCCTTTACCTTTTTTTTTTACCTACCCATTATGTACCCTCGTGTTCCTCCAGCTGATAAATGTCAAAGTTTACCAGCGTGTGCACATAGATGGTCCTTTCACTGTTGTTGTTGTTGCTGTTGTTGTTGTTGCTATTTCATCCCTGTTGTTGTTGTTGTTTAGTCATTTAGTCGTGTCAGACTCTTCGTGATTCCATGAACCAGAGCACACCAGGCACTCCTGTCTTCCACTGCCTCCCGCAGTTTGGTCAAACTCATGCTGGTAGCTTCGAGAACACTATCCAACCATCTCGTCCTCTGTTGTCCCCTTCTGCTTGTGCCCTCAAGCTTTCCCAACATCAGGGTCTTTTCCAGGGAGTCTTCTCTTCTCACCAGGTGGCCAAAGTATTGGAGCCTCAGCTTCAGGATCTGTCCTTCCTGTGAGCACTCAGGGCTGATTTCCTTCAGAATGGATAGGTTTGATCTTCTTGCAGTCCATGGGATTCTCAAGAGTCTCCTCCAGCACCATAATTCAAAAGCATCAATTCTTCGGTGATCAGCCTTCTTTATGTTCCAGCTCTCACTTCCATATATCACTACTGGGAAAACCATCCCTAGCATTGCATAATTCTGATCTCGTGGAAGAATAGACTAGAAGAGCACCTACACCTCTGCCTGAGTGATGGTGAACCCAGATATTATGATGAAATTTTGTCTGCAGCTAATGACTGCAGGGCAATCTTTGATCAGAGACTATCCAAAACTTCTTTAAGATGTGCTGTTTTCTCCCCTAGTGACACAGCTGTGCAGTTTTGTAATGTGTGTACTCAGATCAGCCCCTTCTGATTATAACAATTCCATAGGTACAGTATTTTATGTGTTCGGGATGGCAAGACTGAATGTGGCAGTAGCACCTGGGGTCGGTACTGACCAAGCCATACCTTTCCTCTCGTAACTTTCCCCTTCTAAGATGGAAAGGATAAAGTGCACTGAAGGATGTTTTCAATTAAAACAAGAACACTGAGTCTAAACACGAGTCCCCGCTTCTTTGGCAAGAGAGAGGTTTCGGAGTAACACGCAAGAGTTCAAGCGGTTCATAAGGGGATCTTTATCACACAGGAATGTCTTCTAGCTGAATGACAGGGAAGGATATTTTGGAAATAAGTCACGTGAGTTTATAGGGTTTATAGGGCCTTCAGAAAGGCAATGTACCAAACAACCAAGCAGGGTTGTGAATTGTCGTGCCCTTGACTCTCCATGACATAAGCTCTGCAGAGACAGTAGCCCCTGCTCTTGTTACTAGAGAGTTTGCCTCATAGCAGACAAAAAGTCAATGTTGTAGTTGCTCAATTCCAACACACCAAGTTACCCAAGTGGACCACAGGGCAATCTCTCTCTCTCTCTCTCCCCCTCTCCCTCTCTCTCCATCTTCTGTCTGTCTCATGCCATCTTAATATTATTACCTCTCTCTCTCGTTCTCTGACTTACATTTGCCTGTATTGAAATACAGTTTGTTAGTTAGGACCTGTTCTCCAATATGTTAAGGTCATCATGAATCCCATTTGTGCCTTCTTCAGCAGGGAGTTCCAATTTACACCTCCAGTGAAGATGATGATGAGGATGATGATATAATAATAATAATAATAATAATAATAATAATAATAATAATAGGTGTAGTGGTTAAGAGTGGTGGACTCGTAATCTGGTGAACCGGGTTCGCTTCCCCGCTCCTCCACATGCAGCTGCTGGGTGACCTTGGGCCAGTCACACTTCTCTGAAGTCTCTCAGCCCCACTCACCTCACAGAGTGTTTGTTGTGGGGGAGGAAGGGAAAGGAGAATGTTAGCCACTTTGAGACTCCTTCGGGTAGTGATAAAGCGGGATATCAAATCCAAACTATAATAATAATGATGATAATAATAATAATAATAATAATAATAATAATAATAATTTATTTATACCCCAGCCACTGTGAGCGGCTTCGAGCAAAATATTAAAAATACAATAAAACATCAGACATCTAAAACTTCCCTAAACAGGGCTGCCTTCGGGTGTCTTCTAAAAGTCAGATAGCTGTTTATTTCCTTGACATCTGATGGGAGGGCATTCCGCAGGGCGGGTGCCACCACCGAGAAGGCCCTCTGCCTAGTTCCCTGTAACTTCGCTTCTCGCAGTGAGCAAACCGCCAGAAGGCCCTCAGAGCTGGACCTCCATGTCCAGACTGAACAATGGAGTGGAGACACTCCTTCAGGTATACTGGGCCGAGGCAGTTTATGTGGAGGTTTGACATGATCCTTCCCCACCCCCCGCCGTCTGACCATGCATTCCAGGAACATGTCAATAGGGCTCCTACCATTCTCATTTAACTATAAGTCACACTGATTATAGTCTGCGCTAAATCATAAAACAAATGTGTGCTATTGTCTTGAATCGGGCACTATTATATATACCGTATTTTTTTCTCTATAAGACTCACTTTTTCCCTCCTAAAAAGTAAGGGAAAATGTGTGTGCGTCTTATGGAGCGAATGCAGGCTGCGCAGCTATCCCAGAAGCCAGAACAGCAAGAGGGATTGCTGCTTTCACTGCGCAACGATCCCGCTTGCTGTTCTGGCTTCTGAGATTCAGAATATTTTTTTCTTGTTTTCCTCCTCCAAAAACTTGGTGCATCTTGCGGTCTGGTGTGTCTTATAGAGTGAGAAATATGGTATATTTCAAGGTCACACTACCTTTTTGAAGAACAGGAATGCTGTTGAAATTTCAGCAGGCCTCTGCCTTTATTTTCCCTTTAAGTCACTTGTTGCAAAAGACGGGGAAATGTTACTAGAATGCTGGCATGCTGGCTGCGGCATGAGTAATAATGTTTTCTCTTTATATGTTCCAAGTATCATTGAGGCTTCCTGAGCCATTTGTTTCTTGAGAGCACTTAGGAGCTCAATAAAGCACCTTTATCGCAAGCCAGCATGAGGCCGCTCCCTCCTGGGCTGGCAACCTTTCAGAAACCATGCGTATCTTCATGTGACGTTCGCCAAACTGCCGTGCACTTGAACATTCCTGCTCTCAGACTGCTTCCAGCTACTGCTGCCGTCTGGGGAGGCCACGTTTCGTATCTCACCGTGGTCAACGCAATCCTCTAGGTAATACCTTTCCCTTCCTCTCTCCCCTCCTTTCCCAGGAGCTGGAACGAAATGTATTTCATGTGACTATGTCCCGGCCCCTCTATGCTCCATTTACTTTAGCACAAACATACTGTACTGGCCGAAAATATTTTGCAAATACGGCCAGCAGCATCGCCGGGAAGCGTTCGAATTTTTATATGTTGGTGTTGCTTTTTAATTGCCTTCGTTTAACTGGGCACAAGATTTCGCTATCTAATGTCTCAGGAACACAATGATCCTCCCAGGGGAGAAGGGGGGAGAGGGAGGAAGAACTGCAAAATATAAATGAAGGTTACATGGCGTGGAGAAATGGAACGCGGTATTTCACTTTGTGTTAAGCACCACTCCAGCACCTGTAATTAACTGCAAATCACTAGGTGGAAGTCAATCCTCCTACTTTATTAAACTGGGCATGTTTTACCTCAATAGCAGAGAGTGTGTTCATAGCCCTAGCAGGAACTAGCTAAATCTGTGAGATTCTCCCCGCAAGCGCCTGTGATCCATAGCCTCCAGCACGTCAAAACGACTAATGCCCCTTCTGTTTATCACGAAACCTCACAGTACTGTTCCAATATTAATGCAAAATTCAGATGTTTTTGGCAATATCTCTGGACACACTATAAACTGGTCCAAATCGGAGTTGGTGTTAATAGGAAATAACTTTTTGGTTCAACAGTTTAAACAATGCCAATTTCATATTTCCAAGAACAACGTTAAATATCTAGACATACTGTTTGCCATGGACAAATTCAATGATATTTGGAATCCATTCTTACAAATACAAATGTAATAGGTTAAGATCTGGTGAACTACAATAAATACCTTGTAAAGTACACAGTTTTGGGGTTTTTCCCCCTCCCCACTTTAATTTCCCTCCTACAGTTGTACCTCTGGTTATGAACTTAATTCCTTCCGGAGGTCCGTTGTTAACCTGAAACCGTTCTTAAGCTGAGATACCACTTTAGCTAATGGGGCCTCCCACTGGCGCCACACCACCGCCACATGATTTCTGTTCTCATCCTGAGGTAAAGTTCTTAACCCGAGGTACTACTTCTGGGTTAGCGGAGTCTATAACCCGAAGCGTTTGTAACCCGAGGTGTTCGTAACCCGAGGTACCACTGTACACGGATTCTGTTTCTTTTTTTTCTTTCTGTCTTTTATTTACGTCTCACAATGTTTCGTGCACATATAATTATGTACTTTCTGAACTTTCGATAAAGATGTTTAAAAACTAAACAAAAATATTTTTAAGACTAATGCTTCTCAAGTTCTAGTCATTATTTTTTTAAAAAAAGAGATAGCTGCTGAAATATGCTAACAAATGTCACTGCACACCAAATGTCATATGTAATAATGTGCTCTTTCTCTCCAATTGGCGAGAAGCTGACAGTGGCATCTGGGAGCTGGATTTCCTAGAAAGTGTCATAAAGCATGGTTGCTTCCACACATCTCCATGAGGCTGAGGTATCTTCTTCACAAACTCTGTTGGGATGAGGCCGAGCCTCCACAATTGTGTGCAGCACTTCACAGCGGTGGCGGCAAGCCTCGTCAGACCTTGCAGCGGTGGTGGCAAGCTTTGCCAGACCTCGTGGCAGCAGCAGCAAGCCTCACTGGTCCTCGCAGAAGTGGCAGCAGTGGGCTTCGATGGGCCTCGCAGGGGTGGCAGCGGACCTCGATGGGCCTTGCAGTGGTGGTGGCAAGCCTTGCAGGGCCTCGTGGCAACAGCAGGCCTTGCCGGACTTCCTCCCAGGGGTGGAAGAAGGGGGTGCGGTAGGGGCAGTCCACCCCAGGTGTCACCACAGAGAGGGGTGACAAAATGCCGGGAGGCAATCACCACAGGGCCTGCAGTGCGCCCGAGCCACACATCTCTCCTGGGAGTGACATGGTGGCTTGGGCGCCCGCAGGCTCCACGCTGCCCCAAATGGTCCACCTGCCTCCTCCCTCTCAGCTATAGGGCGGCTGAGTGGGAGGAGGCAGGCAGACTCCTCGGAGGCCCTAGGGAGCGTCCTGCCCCAGTTCGCCCCACCCTGTGGGCAGCTGGCTCTGCCCCTGGGTGCAGGGCACACGCACCGCCCCTGGCGCCCGATCGGCTTGCTCCGCCACTGGTTCCTCCCACTACTAGTCTCCTCCCAATGCACAATGCGCATGACGTCTCATGTGCATGATGAGCCCCCTCATTGTTGGATGCAAGTTGGCACCTCTGCCTCCACGCTAGTGATGTCACAACTTTTCATGATGAACTGAAAGCTGGATTTTAATTTCCTGTAACACTTAATATACGATATTATCGGGCCAAACCAACCTTGATGGTCGAGATCTTTCTATAATGTGTACTCAAGCATATGTCTCAGTCAGCGAAGATCCTCTTCAACTTGAATTAGAAGCTTCCTCTTCGTGGCTTCAAACTCTAATTGTTTAATCTTCACAATATAAGGGCTTATATAAGGGATGCGGGTGGCACTGTGGTCTAAACCACTGAGCCTCTTGGGCTTGCCGAGAAGGTCAGCGGTTCGAATCCCTGTGATGGGGTGAGCTCCCATTGCTCTGTCCCAGCTCCTGCCAACCTAGCATTTCCATTGACCGATTGCCTAAAAAAAAAGCTCAGCAACTGAGTATTAGTTCTAGAAATATGGCAACCCAAAGGAAACAGTGTGTGTTAGAACTTGCCACTGGCTGCAGCTGTTCAGATGGTTCAGATCCATTGTCATATGTGTATAGTGGCACATTTCCTGAACTTTGATGACCACCTTGTCTAGGTCTTTGCCTACAACTAATCCAGAATGTGGCAGCTGGACTGGTGACCAGGAGTGGCCACCAAGACCACATAACACTGGTCCTGAAATACCTACATTGACTCCCAGTACGTTTCCGGGCACAATTCAAAGTGTTGGTGCTGACCTTTAAAGCCCTAAATGGCCTCAGCCCAGTATACTTGAAGGAGCGTCTCCAGCACAACGTTCTGCCCAGACACTGAGATCCAGCTCCAAGGTCCTTCTGGCGGTTCCCCCCCATCAGAAGTGAGGTTACAAGGAACCAGGCAGAGGGCCTTCTTGGTAGTGGCACCCGCCTCGTGGAACTCCCTCCCACCAGATGTCAAGGAAATAAACAACATTCTGACTTTTAGAAGTTGAGGGAAGTTTTTAATGTTTGATGTTTTATCATGTGTCAGAGCTGGCTCCAGGTCCCAGCTCACAGAGGACCAACGCTAGCCGGCAGTAATGTACAAAAGTCTTTATTGAAGTACAGTTTCCATTTTCAAGCCGCAGCGCCCCAGCTCTACGTCTAGGGGTTAGATCGGCGAAGCTCCATCTGAGTCTCCGCCCCTGTACACCAGTTTAAGATTCTAGCCTTACTCCACCTCTTACGTCTCTCCTTTCTCCTCTGGGTCCTGCTACCCCCCGGGGTCCCTTCCTTCCTGGATTCTTCTGACGCTGACGTTGAGCCCCCTGACTCCTCCCCCTCTTTGCGGCGGGCTTTGGGACCTGGCTCCCTATCCGGGCTGCCAACTGCGCCGCCCTCCTGTACATTTGAACTTGGCGCGCGCGCCCAGCCTTCAACCTTCCTCTCGACCGTTTCCTCGCTCCCCGATGGAGGCGTGGCCAATCCTGACTCATGTCCTCCCACTGGCAGTGCGCCGCCTGATCCCGATGCCTGGGACCCCTCCCCCCTACTGCACTCTGGTGTGGACGCTGGTCCTGATTTCCAACTGCTGCTCTCTGAGTCCCCTCTGGCCCCTTCTTCCTGGGGTGTCCCCTCGGCACCCCCTTGCTCTGACCAAGGGAGCCCCTTTCTGTGAATCTTCCGATTCGCTGGAAAGACTCAGAGACCTCGGACCGCTGTCATCGCTAACATTTCCTTCGGACTCCTCCCCTCGCTCTCTATTTCCTCCCTTTCCTGTGCCTCTGCTCCTGAACCCCTGACATCCATCCCCCCCTCGAATCCCCCCCCTACCCCCGCCCCTCCTTCAGGTGTGGGTACTGGGCGCTCCGTCGTTGTGGGGGTGAGTGCCGGATACAGTTCGTCCCCCCGGGCGTGCATCCAGCCGGATAAGTCCGGCTCGTCCTCCGTGCTCTCGCCGACCTCAATTTCCTCTGCTTCCATCTCTTTGCCGCCGTGCTCGAACCCAAGGTCCTCCCCAACACGTCCATGTCCGTCTCTCCCCGGTCTCCTCCGGGGACGTTGCCTGCCAAGGACCCCCCAGCCACTTCCTGCGCCACTGCTCCTCTGGTCGATTGTCCCACCAATAGGAACGGTCTGAGGCAGACCCCGAGGGTGATCCCTCCGGGGAACGTGTTTCTAGTGCCGGTTCCTCGTCCGAGGTGAACCCCTGGAATGTGCTAGCTGAAAATGTGGGTGTGAAAAGCCAGTCGTCGAAATACTCGGCTGGCATGGGCCTGTGTGGGAAAAGGGCATGAAACTCGTCCTTGAGAAAAGGTTCGTCCAAGGCATGGTCTGGCACCCAACTGTTGGCGCTGGCCGGGGTACCTTCTCTGGCGAGAAGATATTCTACTCCCTCTTCCCCCCATCTCGAGTCTAAAATCTCTGTGACTTCGTTGACGGGTTCCCGCCTTGGCGACCCCCTTGTGGGCGTTTCCCTGAACGGGTCTGGTGCCGTTCCTGGCTCCTGAAATCTATGAGGTGCTTTGTAGGGCGTGAGCACTGATCTATGGAAAACTGGGTGCATTCTGGATCCCTCCGGCAGTGTCAACCGGAAGGCCACTGGATTGACCTGTGCCTCGACTTGGTAGGGTCCTAGCTGCTTATGCCCTAGCTTCTTCTTCGCTAACGATCTGGCCGGCACTGCCTGGGCTGCTAACCAAACCCAGTCTCCCACCTGTATGTCTTCCCCAACCCTTCTGTGCTTGTCAGCCTGCAGTTTGTATGCGTGCTTTGCTAGTTCTAACTGCCTCCGAAGCTGTTCGTGAACCTCCTGCAACTCTGATGCTAAGGCTTCCGCTGCCTGTGGCTCCCCTCCCCCGCTCTCGCTAATCCCGGGAAGGTTCTGGGATGCCTCCCGTTGTTGGCGAAGAACGGTGTCACCCCCGTGGACACGTGCTTCGTGTTGTTGTAGGCGAACTCAGCGAGCGGCAGGTAGTCCACCCATGTTGCCGGCTGCTGATTTGCGTAGCATCGCAGGTACTGCTGCATGATGGCGTTGACTCGCTCCGCTTGTCCGTTCGTCTGCGGGTGTCTCGCCGACGCTAGGTTGATCTTGACGTTCAGGAAACCCATCAGCTTCTGCCAGAAGTTCGAGATGAACTGTCGCCCCGGTCGGACAGGATAGACCGTGGCAGACCGTGAACCCTGAACACGTGGTCTATGAACAGTTTGGCGGTCTGTTCCGCCGTGGCCACCTTCGCGCACGGAATGAAGTGGGCCATTTTGGTGAACATGTCCACCACCACTAGCACTGCCGTCTTGCCCCTCGAGCTGGGTAGATCCGTGACAAAGTCCAGGGCCACCCTCTCCCACGGTTCGAGCGGTGTCTGCAGCGGTTCGAGCAGTCCCGCCGGCGGTTTGTGCACTGACTTGGCCCTTTGGCAGGTGTCGCACCTCGAGACGTAATCCGCGACTTCCCCCCCCGCATCTTGGGCCACCAAAAATCTCTGGCTACTAATTCTACCGTCTTCTCTTTGCCAAAGTGCCCGGCGGTGGGTGCGTCGTGCAACTGCTGCAGTACTTTCGCGCGGAGGTCGTCTCCCGGTACGTAGAGGGCCCCTCTGCGGATGAGCAATCCGTCGCGTATCTGGAACTCGTCGTCCTCCGCCGTGCCCCTTTGCACCTCTGCCATCTTTGCTTGCGCGAAGGGGTCCTCCTGCAGTGCTCGACGTACAGCATCCAGGTCCACGGTTGCTGAAGCGCACGCCCACGCTTTCGGTGCGAAAATGTGCTTGGCCGCTGCTGGTGCCGCCTCCTCGAGGTATTGCGGCTTTCTGGACAGTGCATCCGCCATGATGTTGTTGTCGCCTGGGATGTACTCTATCCTGAAGTCGAAATCCGCAAAGAACTCCGCCCATCGTATGTGCCTCTGGTTCAGGAACCTTGCCGTGCGCCAGTACTCCAGGTTTTTATGGTCCGTGCGGACCTGCACTGTGTGTTTGGCTCCAATGAGGAAGTGCCGCCACGCCTTGAATGCTGCATGAATGGCCAGCAACTCCCTGTCCCAGATGGTGTAGTTCTGCTCTGACTTGCTGAGCTTCCTGGAGTAGAAGGCACACGGTCTCCAGTCCCCATGCGGGTCTTGCTGCAACAGTACTGCTCCCACGGCTCTGTCTGAGGCGTCCGTTTCAACCCTCATCGGTCTGCTGGGATTCACATGCAGTAGCTGCTCTTCGGACGAGAAGAGACGCTTGAGTTTCTGAAAGGACTGCTCCGCTTGCTCCGTCCAGATGAACTTCTTCTTCTTGGAGCTGAGCGTGTCGGTAATGGCCGCCGTCTGCATCGCGAACCCCTTGATGAACTTGCGGTAAAAGTTGGCGAAACCGACAAACCGCTGGACCTCCTTCCGATTGCGCGGGCTCTTCCAGTCCAACACTGAGCGAACCTTGGCGCTGTCCATGGCGAGCCCCTTGTCCGACAACTTGTAGCCCAGGAAATCTACCTCCTTCATGTCGAACTGGCACTTCTCCAGCTTGGCGTACAGCCTGTGCTCCTGCAGTCTCTGCAGAACTTCCTTGACGTCTCCCTCGTGGGTCTCCTCTGATTCTGAAAATATCAGGATGTCGTCCAGGAAGCAGACGCATTTCTTGTAGAGGAGACCCGCCAATACGTGATGCATGAAGGCTTGAAAACAGTGGGAGCCATTTTGTAATCCAAAGGGCATAACTCTGTATTCATAGGTGCCCAGGGGCGTGAACATGGCAGTCTTCCATTCGTCGCCCTCCCGTATGCGAATCAGGTTGTACGCCCTCGCAGATCCAACTTTGTGAAAACGCGTCCTTTCCTCACCGTTGCGAGCAGGTCATCTATCTTGGGCATGGGAAAGGCTGTGGGCTTGGTTTTCGAGTTCAAAATTCTATAGTCCACCACAAGCCTTTTTGGGGCGTGTCCTTCTTCTTCACAAAGAATACAGGACTGCCCCCACTGCCTTCGACTCCTGGATGAAACCGCGCTTCAAGTTGAGGTCTATGAACTCCCTGAGTTCCTGCAGCTCGTCTTCAGACATGGAATACAGTTTCCCGGTTGGCAGCGCGCCCTGGCAGGAGGTCAATCTTGCAGTCATAGGACCTGTGGGGAGGTAGCTTGTCCGCTTCCTTCTCGCAGAAAACCTCCAAAAACGCTGCGTACTTGAGTGGCACTGCTTGCAGCGTGCCTAATTGTAGCTGCGGGTCATCCTCTTCCCCTTCCGGGCTAGGCAGAATGCAATGTTCCGCACAGTATGAGGAGCCGAAGGTCAGTTGTCGCTGGTACCACGCCAATGCTGGGCTGTGCCTGTGCAGCCAACTCATGCCTAATACTATAGGCGTGTCCGACAGTTGGGTGACATTGAAGCTGATGACTTCTCGGTGATTCCCAATTTGCATCACCATCGGAGGCGTTTGCTGCACCACCTGCCCCCCCAGCAATTCCCTGCCATCCACCGTGACAACTTTCAGAGGCAGCGTGGCTGGCAGGAGTGCTATGTTGTGCTCTTGAATGAAATCCAGTCCTATGAAGTCTGCGTTACTACCAGAGTCAATGGTAATCGGCACTTCCATAGTGAGTCCATTGGGTAGTTGGAGCGATGCTGTGAGCTGCACCACTGGTTTGGGCGGGAGGGGGTCTGTGGGCTGCAAAATCTCTGGGGACGGCTTCATTGACTTGTCTGGCTGGGCCCCAGTGCCTCTTCCTCCAACCAGACTCTGTCGTTTCCCTGCTGTGGTTCTCTCTGCTGAGTTGCGTCTGTTACTGTTGCTGAGGCTGCAGTGTGCTTGTGGAGCCTCTGGGGACACTCTTTCGCCATGTGCTGAGCACTGTCGCAGATGTAGCACTTCCTGTCCCTCTAGGAGGCTTCGCTTTGACTGCTCCCGGTGTTAGGGCTCTGGTTGCTGACTGAGCCCTGGCGCCTCCAATCTCCATCGGTTGCTCCCCCTCCTTGCGGAGGTGGGGATTGCACACGCGCTGCATCCTTGGGAAAGAGGGGAGGTGCTCTCACTGGCGTACGTCCCCAACGTCCTTCTTCTCTGTTCCATGGACGTTCTTCCAGACGCACCCCAATTTGCAGCGCCCGCCGGACAACCTCCTGAGTGCTCTTTGGTCTCTCCCCTTGCAATCTCATCTTTCACATTTGCATTCAAGCCTTCCCAAAAAGGTCTCTGGCTGGGGCAGAATCCTTCTCCCATCCCAGCGCATGGACTAATGCAAAAAGCGGGAATGGTACTGCCTTACACTGGCTCTGCCTTGTTTGAGCCCATGTATGTCTTTTCTGGCGATATCAATGTCTATATTTGATAAAAACACGAATCCATCGCTTTAATGAATGCATCCGCATTTTGGAGCGCCGGATCCTTATCTCTCCACAGATTGCGCAGCCACGCTTTAGCTTCCCCATGCAAATGGGACAAGATAAACCCCACCTTCTCTTGCTCATCTCTAAAGTCTTTATCCAGCAGTTCCAGCGCAAACAGCACGTCTGCTCGGAAGTTAGGGTACTGCTGCAAATTCCCATCGAAATGAGATACCAGGCTGCCTCCTCTTTCCCCAGCCCAATCCCCTCTGATTTGGGTCCCGGTTGCCCCTGCTTAGCAAGCACTTCCAACCTGGCTTGGAGATCCCTGCAGGCGGCAGCCGCTTCCTCTTCCCTTTTCCTGGATGCGAGTACCTCCGCGTTGAGTTGTGTCACTGCATTTTGCAGGGCTGCTAGTTGCTGTTCTGTAGTCATCTTGCCTGACTTTTGTGAGCTCGCGAAGCACCAATCTTCTCCCTCGCTGCGTCCACTCACGTTACGAGGTTTTTGGTGCAAAACTTTTAGAGATGGAGCTTACTGTCAGAGCTGGCTCCAGGTCCCAGCTCACAGAGGACCAACGCTAGCCGGCAGTAATGTACAAAAGTCTTTATTGAAGTACAGTTTCCATTTTCAAGCCGCAGCGCCCCAGCTCTACGTCTAGGGGTTAGATCGGCGAAGCTCCATCTGAGTCTCCGCCCCTGTACACCAGTTTAAGATTCTAGCCTTACTCCACCTCTTACGTCTCTCCTTTCTCCTCTGGGTCCTGCTACCCCCCGGGGTCCCTTCCTTCCTGGATTCTTCTGACGCTGACGTTGACCCCCTGACTCCTCCCCTCTTTTCGGCGGGCTTTGGGACCTGGCTCCCTATCCGGGCTGCCAACTGCGCCGCCCTCCTGTACATTTGAACTTGGCGCGCGCGCCCAGCCTTCAACCTTCCTCTCGACCGTTTCCTCGCTCCCCGATGGAGGCGTGGCCAATCCTGACTCAGGTCCTCCCCCTGGCAGTGCGCCGCCTGATCCCGATGCCTGGGACCCCTCCCCCCTCCGGCACGCTGGTGTGGACGCTGGTCCTGATTTCCAACTGCTGCTCTCTGAGTCCCCTCTGGCCCCTTCTTCCTGGGGTGTCCCCCTCGGCACCCCCCTTGCTCTGACCAAGGGAGCCCCTTTCTGTGAATCTTCCGATTCGCTGGAAAGACTCAGAGACCTCGGACCGCTGTCATCGCTAACATTTCCTTCGGACTCCTCCCCCTCGCTCTCTATTTCCTCCCTTTCCTGTGCCTCTGCTCCTGAACCCCTGACATCATGTTTTTAATATTCTGCTGGGAGCTGCCCAGAGTGGCTTGGGAAACCCAGCCAGATGAGTGGGGTATAAATAATAAATCATTATTATTATTATTATTATTATTATTATTATTCCATCCACTGGCGCAAGCTGACCTGCCTTTTTCTTGTCTGCAGCTCCTGTCAAACTGTAGGAATTCAAGCCAAAATAATCCAGTAACTTCCTCATATCCTTATCTCGGATTGTAACCGTATTGGATTTGGAAATTGTTTCTATATATGAAATATATAAGGGTCTGGAAACCAAGCCTTACGAGGAGCGTTTGAAGGAGCTGGTCATGTTTAGCCTGCAAAAGAGGAGACTGAGAGCTGATACGATAGCCATCTTCAAATACCTGAAGGGCTGTCACATGGAAGAGAGAACAGGCTTGTTTTCTCCTGCTCTGCAGGGTAGGATTCGAACCAATGGCTTCAAGTTCCAAGAAAGGAGATTCCAACTAAACATGGTCGGACAAACGCCGGCTCCCTCGTCCTGAAAGCGAGATGAGCGCCACAACCCCATAGTCGCCTTTGATTGGACTCAACTGTCCAGGGGTCCTTTACCTTTACCTTTTCCTCTTTTGCCCAACATAGAAGCCAACTTCTAGGGGCCATGGGGGCTTTGACTCCCATAAGAAAATATTTGAGAGGGCCAGGCCCCCACAAAGTTGATGGGCGTTCCCATTCAAATGGTGTGCATGCACTGCGTCATGTGATTGATTATGTGGGGCAGGGCTTACTTGGGTCCCCACAATATTTTATTCAAGTTGGCACCGCTGTTGCGGCTCAAACCCACAACCCTCAGATTAAGAGTCTCGTGCTCTACCACCTGAACTGCTCTTTATCGCTGCTGCATTTTGAATCACTTTGAGATGTTGCATAGGAAACAATCCATTTGTGGAATTGAATAAAAATAAATAAAATAGCAATTCCCAATAAGCAATTCAGACCGGAGCATGAAGGAATTCCCAACAGTTTAAAGAGCCAGTTTCTGCGTCAAGTGGAGCCCACCAAATCAGTTACAGACATTGCCCTGTATACCAGCCCAGCCCCGTGCTTTGAGAACAATGCTTTCCTGAAAACATTTATATATTTGTTCATCCATTCATTTGATTTATTGGACATGTAAGAAGAGGAGGCTTGCAAAATTCCGAAAGCCTAAAGCATGACGGAAAACCAGGGGAGAAAAAAAAATGCAAATAAAAGCCATGCAGTAACCTCTAAAACAAAGCCAGTAAAATAGTGGAAAACTCCAGCAGCAAAAACGTACCATCGACAAACAGCAAAATCATCATAATCCATCTAACGCCTGGGTGAAGAGATAAGTCTCCACCTGGTGCCAAAAGGATGTTAATGATGGTGCCAGGAGGACAAAATTATTATAACAATATCAGGCTGGTGTACTTTGTTCTAAGCGCATTGTAAGGATCTGGGAGTATTTCGACGGAGCTACACTCCTGAGAAAAAAGCAGGGCATATTGTGAGATTTGGCTAGATGAAGACATTATCTCATGGGGAGAAAATGGGTGTTCGGATTAACCTCTCATGCGTTCAAAACATGTAGGAAGGGTTCTGGGGGTCATGCCAATGAATGTCATTCTTCGCACCCGCCACCCCACATGCCAGCCATGCATGTTTTCTTATTGTAACAAGTCCACTCAACTTTTCCAGTGGGCGGCACTGCAGCCAGGTATTGGGGTCCCTGCAGCTATCCACTGGGGGGCAGAGATTGACAACCCCCCTCGTTGCCGTCCCGGCTGCATCACCAGGAAATTTAAACCGTGGCGTGGCCAGGGAGCCCTCCTCTCTCGCCCTTCACCAGATCTCTCAATCCACCTGCCTTCTTTTTTTATCCTTTGCTATGACATGACCTCACTATGGAAAAATGTCAGCCGTCATATTGTTGGTGGAATTTCTTCCACTTGGCAAATTGGCACCGGCTATTTGGTTTCTGCCTACGTCGCAGCAATCATCACAACTTTGTGAGGTTAGGCATTGGGTAAGACGTGGGTGGCGCTGTGGTCTAAACCACAGAGCCTAGGGCTTGCCGATCGGAAGGTCGGCGGTTTGAATCCCTGTGGCGGGATGAGCTCCTATTGCTCGGTCCCAGCTCCTGCCAACCTGGCAGTTTGAAAGCACGTCAAAGTGCAAGTAGATAAATACGTCCAGCGAGAAGGTAAATGGCATTTCCGTGTGCTGCTCTGGTTCACCAGAAGTGGCTTAGTCATGCTGGCCACATGACCCTGAAGTTGTAGACCGGCTCCCTCGGCCAATAAAGCGAGATGAGCGCCGCAACCCCAGAGTTGTTCATGACTGGACCTAATGGTCAGGGGTCCCTTTAGCTTTACCTTTAAGACTCAGGTGGCACTGTGGTCAAAACCACTGAACCTCTTGGGCTTGCTGATTGGAAGGTCAGCGGTTTGAATCCCGTGGCAGGGTGAGCTCCTGTTGCTCAGTCCCAACTCCTGCCAACCTAGCAGTCTGAAAGCATGTCAAGTAGCTAAGTAGATAAATAGGTACTGCTCTGGTGGGATTAATAGTCTGTATAGTCTGTTACTCTGCCGACAGAGCTATCCCGGATGTGGGACGAAACCAGAATGAGTTGCCTCTGCCTGCCACTGGCTCTGCCTCCACCTGCCGTTGGGCTCCCTGATTTCTCACCCACCAATGCCAATGGGCACCAGCCGCCTCCACCATTAGCTCCTCCTGGGATCCCTGCAGGAGTCAAGATCCTGTTGAGGAGACCCATCTTTTCCTTCAGAAGTGCAACATCTAATACGCTCCTCTCCTCCCTCGTCCCAGGTTGGGTTCTCTTTAACCTCAATGGCTGATTTATTTGCCAGAAACGGCAGACCACGAGTGTGTGGAAAAGGGGAGGCACTTTTTTTTGCCAGCCTTGTTTTTGCTGCCTCCAGTGATGCTTCAGTCAGCTGTTTCTAGGTAATGGGGCTTCTGTGAACAAACAGGGTTATTAGAGTTCATTAAGCTGCTTCTCGATTCACTCCTTGTGCCGCTTCCGGGGAATGATGTCGCTGCGGCAGCAAAGGGACTTGGAGGGAGGCAACGGGTCAAAGGTCTCTGAAAGGAAAGAGAAAAAACTCACTCGCTGAAAACCAGGAGTGAATCATTCCAGTCATTTGATTTGATTAAAAAAAAAAAAAGTCAGCCACAGCTCCTGTAAAACTAGGGCAAGGGGAAGCATCACATTTCGAAATAGACTCCTTTGATTGGGACACATTCGTTCAAATGTTCCAAGCTGTCTCGGAAAATCCCCTCGCTGGCTTTGTGGCTGTCGCTATATATAGCGATAGATATAATATTTTTAATTCACAACTGCGGCCAGCTCTTTGGCCTTCGACAAGTCTAGGGAGATCCTGCCAGTCTCTATCATGCTCCACCTCCGTCACGCAGCTTGTCTTGCCGGGCCCTCCAGTTAGTTTATCCATATTTAAAGTGGACAGTCACTTCCAGCTGATCAATGGCAAACCCATGCCATCGCTAACCGGCTGTAACTAAATAACAGCCAGTTAATCGCATCACTGAGCTGCTACCAATTTCATGCAAAGAGACAAGTGAGTACCTGAGAGGCTCACATTTTAGAAGAAGATGCACTGAAAGGGGGGGGGACACGTGGGCATGTGTCCTTCTGACGTCGGAAAGGTCAGCTCTTGGCAGGGTGGATGCTGGAGGCCTCAGAGCCTTTGCTATTCTCTTCATCGGTGTGATCTTTCATTATTATTATTAAATTGATATACCACCCTTCACCCAAAGATCTCAGGGTGGTATGGAGAACAAAACACAAAACACAAGGAAATAACTAAACCAAAACTAACAGAACAATAACTATTCCCCCTTCCCACATTTAAAAGGCTGTACAGTGGTACCTCAGGTTACATACGCTTCAGGTTACAGACTCCGCTAACCCAGAAATAGTGCTTCAGGTTAAGAACTTTGCTTCAGGATGAGAACAGAAATTGTGCTCTGGCAGCGCGGCAGCAGCAGGAGGCCCCATTAGCTAAAGTGGTGCTTCAGGTTAAGAACAGTTTCAGGTTAAGAACGGACCTCTGGAATGAATTAAGTACTTAACCTGAGGTACCACTGTAGGTTGTTGTTGTTTATTGAATTTATATACCGCGCTATACCTGGAGGTCTCAAGGCAGTTCACAGAAAAGATCACAACATATATAATCAGGATGAAAGCAACAACCCAATAATACCCCCCTCCCCAGAAAAGAGCCAGATTTTAAAAGGGTAAAGGCAAAGGTACCCCTAACCATTTGGTCCAGTCACGGATGACTCTGGGGTTGCACGCTCATCTCACTCTATAAGCCGAGGGAGCCGGCGTTTGTCCGCAGACAGCTTCCGGGTCATGTGGCCAGCATGACAAAGCCGCTTCTGGCGAACCAGAGCAGCGCATGGAAACGCCGTTTACCTTCCTGCCGGAGCGGTACCTATTTATCTACTTGCACTTTGACGTGCTTTCGAACTGTTAGGTTGGGAGGAGCAGGGACCGAGCAATGGGAGCTCACCCCGTCGCGGGGATTCGGACCGCCGACCTTCTGATCGACAAGCCCTAGGCTCTGTGGTGTAGACCACAGCGCCACCTGCGTCCCTTTTAAAAGGGTATAGGATGTCAAACAAAGGCCTGGTTGAAGAGGAAGGTTTTTGCCTGGCGCCTAAAGGTATATAATGAAGGTGCCAGGCGAACGTCCCTGGGGAGAGCATTCCACATACAGGGAGCCATTACAGAAAAGGCCCGTTCTTGTGTTGCCACCCCCCGGACCTCTCATGAAGGAAGCACAAGAAAAAGGGCCTCAGATGATGAATGCAGTGTCCAGGACAGTTTATATGGGGAGAGGAGGTCCTTGAGGTCTTACAAAGATGCAGAGCTTTGCTCATCTCTGCTCCCCTCTATGACCTTTTATTTAAAGATGGGGGTGGGATTTCAAATGGCCTTGGCATTCTTCTCCTCTGCCAAAACTCAGCAAGACAGGGACATTCCGACTGCAACAGAAAGATGGAGCCCAGTCAGATGATGCAGCCCTTGGCGGGAGCATCTCCCCAACACTGACCAGGCAACCATTCAGTGAGTGTCAGGATGCTGTCAGCAGCTCCCGGCTGGTTGCCCAGGAAAGTGTAAAGACAAGGAGAAGTTTCTTACAGTCCTTTTTATTTCAGACTTTACAGAGAGGGGCTATAGAACCCAGTCTCTTGGATAATGGCGTTGTCCCGAGTGAATCTCCACACACACACACACACACACACACAGTCTCTCCCACTTCTTCATTTGACATCATCTTATACAGGTGCCACTAAGTGTCCTCTGTCTTTGAGCTCTTTGCTCTCCTACTTCTAAGGCTTGCCGGGTTCTGGGAGATGATGCATCTGGAATACTTTCCAGTGACACCATGTCAGCAACCTGCTGCTCTAGCTCGGCCTGCTCCTCCTCTCCCATGATTTCCCAACTTTCCCCCTCCTCTGCCGCTGAGCTGTGACCTCCCGTAAACCCCTGTCATAAATCTAGACTGTCTTCCTCTTCCTCCTCCCCGGAAGGGTCAGGCTGGGGAGGCGGTCTCCACCACTTTTCCTCCTCTGCCAGTCCCTGACAGCGAGGGGCCCAGAGACCCCCCAGCAGCAGGCAGGATGGGGATCCCTGCGTGGGAGCACCCAACTCGCACCCTCTCAAAATCATGCATTGGTGGCTAAGGTCTCTCTGGCCCTCCCTATGCTACGCCACTGGTGAAAGGAATAATTTGCCATTCTTTTTATAGATTGAGAATCTTCAGGGGGCTAAAAGCAAGAAAACTATATTCCAGTGGTGGCCTGTGCTGAAGGCCGGGAGGCCAAGAGCTGGTGAAGCCATGGAGCATGACTGATAAACCCAACTAATTCTGGTCTCTCCACTCCTGAGACTAAGGAGAGACTGTGCTACTCCTCAGACCAGTTGCAAGAAAGAAAGAAAGAGGACAGATGAAGGTTTCTGGGACAGTTCCCCATTTGCCCTACTGGGTCATCCTCAGCTGCTACATTCTGCTCTCTCATTTGTGCCTTGCCTTTTCCAGATGAGAGCCACAGTGTGAGAGAGACACAAGTAAATAGTCCTTCCCGTTTGGAACAGTTTCAGCGGAGTCTTTGCAGTGCTTAGCTGCAGCCCATGATTTAATATGAATGTTGCACGAGAATCGTAGCTTGAATCACTTCAGTTTGACTCGGAGCTGTTTCAAGAGCCATTATGAGACTGTTAGTCTTTATGTCAGTTCCCAGAAATGTGAAAACTCCTCCAGTCGCTCAAAATGCAAGACTATCTGTTGACAATGCGCGACAGAGGGAGGAGAATGAGCTCTGGCATATTCCATTTCTTCTGTTCGTGTGAATAATCAGCTCCCCTGCTCAGAACAGGATCCTGCCTTGCTAGATCTTTTAAGTGGCAAAAATGTTTCAACAAAGAAAAACGGGATTATGAACAGGAGCAACAGGGTGCGTCATGTGAAATTTCAGCGAGAGAATGGTTTTTTTAAAAAAGAAAAGTGTTGGACAAGATTCACAGTGAGATTCCAA